ACAAATGAAGATCGCTTCGATGTTTACACTAAAAAATATATATATATCAGAGATCCGATACTCGCCGAGTTTCCCCGCCTCGCCTCGCCTCGCCCCGCCGCGAGGCGAGGCGGGGCGGCATTCTTCGCACCGGGGCGAGTACGAGTTGATCTTGCGACTCGGCGAGTCGACTCGCCTACCTACAATATGATTTTTTGGCGAATAATGGAAAAATTTCTTACTAATAATAAGTCAGTAAGATCCATATCTTCAATTTGATGACGAGCACGGTCACAAATAAGGCAAATATCTTAAGTAACTTATTGAGCTTGATTTAATAGACGATAATTGTTTTAAGTTTTGGTATGAACATCTGTTCATTTATCCAATATTATTAAAGGTTGCTCGATTAATTTTTTCAATTCGAGCAACTATAGTTAATGTCAAGCGCCAATTCAGTGTCGATGATTTGATGGTCAATTCTAGACGTACTCATTGAAATCCATAACAAGTTAACAATAAACTGTTTATACGTTGAGTAAAAAAATGAATGATTCCTATTTATTTTGATCGCATTTTATATTTTTGGTTTGTGAACCTATTTATATGTAACAGATGAAGCTTGTTAAATGGCTACGCTTTCCATTTCAATTTTCGATCACTTAATACGTTGTATTAAAAAAACAAAATCTATCATAAGATGCAGTGTGAAAAGCTCTATAGCTTACATAAGATAGATTCTTTCATAGTAACACTTTTTTGTCTTGAAAATCGACAAAACTGTGAGAGATCTAATTTCGATGCTGCAAAAGGTGGTCTCACAGTATTTTGTTCTTTTTTGAATATAAAAAGTACAGTATTAAAGTAAACTTTATATTGTAGACTGCAGAGCTTGTCACACTGTACATTATGATATATTTTATTTTTTCAAATAAAACATATCAGGTAATAAAAAATCTCAACTAAGAAAAGAAAAGAATGAACTTTCTGCAGCGTCTAAATCTGACCCCTCAGACTTTTGTCGATTTGCAAAACACAAAGCGCAACTATGAAAGAAGCTGTCTTATATAAATTGTAGAGCTTTTCACACTGCATCTTGTAGAGTATTTTATTTTATTAATACAACGTATTAAGTGATTGAACATAGAAATACAAAGGCGTAACCATTTATTCTGCTTCATCCGTTATTTGTTGTACTATGTTTGATCTTACGAAATAAAAAGATAGTAATTGTTCTGGATGAATGAGAAACTGCCTCAAAAAATCTTTTTTATGATAGATGTTAGGCGAGGCGAGGCGAGGCGGTGGCAAGTCGAAGGTTGAGAAGGCGGGGCGAGGTGAAGCGACGACTAGCAACTCGCCAGCATGACGAGGCGGTGGCGAGTCGATTTTTCAACTGACTCGCGGATCTCTGATATATATAACCGGATTGCACCCAAATACATAGGTCTGATCTCGGAAGATTTCTTTTCTATGACGATGTATTTTTCTCGAATGATTTCAATAAAAGTAAAGGAGATCATCTTCGTCATTGCTTTCGAAGGAGAAGAGTGAAAAAACAAAACGAAAGAGAGTGAGATCAGTCTTTACTGCGTAAATGGTTTGATTATGGTGATTAAATGCATCCACGTGCATCTATATGCTTATTTTCTTGTTCTTATCTTCTATCTTTTTTTTTTCTTTCATCCTTTATTACCAGTGTTTTGTCTCATGTTGTTAAAAATGCAGCATTATAGCTTACACTCATATTGATGCATTCATATTCATATGATTATATGTGTTTTTTGCAGTCATTCTAAATCACATTTCGATATCCTTGTGTAAGCACTTCGACGTGTAACAATAAACAGGTAAAATATGAAAAAAAAAATCATTTTTTGTTGTTTTCTTGAATATAAACTTGTAATTTAATATATTCAATGAAGATATTAGAGTGACTTACTTTCTCTGTAAAGAAATACACAACATGTCGATAAATTAACATTTTTATATGACAATTGTTTTTTTTTTTACCTAGATAAGTTTAATTTCAACATGAATCTATTTCAGAGTCTATTACAATCAAAATTCTTTTCTATAAAAGAAAAAAAGCCTTCTATGGATTATATTTCATTTGCTGTTTTGTTTTTCAAATGTTGATTCCACAATAAAATTTTCGACAAACAAAAAAAAAAGACAGAGTATATCCAAAACATTTCTCATTCATTTTTCCTTTTTGATTACTTACTCTCTTATTTTGATAAGTATATTTTATTGATTTTTTTATTCTTCTCTCGATTTTATTCTATTCACCAAAAAAAAAACCAAACATGAAGCTGCATTCTGTTCTTCTTTCTGTCGTTTTTTTTTGTTGATTGCATCAATACATGAAAACTAATGGTTGATACAAAATACTTTGAACGTGTCAAAAAAAATATTTTAGATGGCAAATCATAATAAATCTGGTGTTATTGGTATGCTGGTTCATGGCAAAATTGAGATAACTCAAAAATCTATTGATTCTGATCATGTAGATCGAAAAAATATGGAATATTTACCATATCCTGATGATAATTTTAATGAAATTATTGATAATTGTTTTCAACGAGGTTTGTATACATAGGTTTTTGTATTTTTACTATCTATTTGAGTTTTTTTGTTATTTAGGTGATAAATTTACTCTTGAACATATACGTCGCCGTACTGGACAAGCATTTGTTCCTAATGTTCGAGTTCATGTTAAATCAATTGTAGCTAAACGTACTGATAAATGTTCTACAGCATTTATTGATCCATATTTGTAAGTTTAACTAAATAATATTTTTAAAATTGTTAAAATGATATTTTTAATTATTTCTAGATTTTGTATAACAGCTCAGCATGGACTTAATAAATGGACTATTTATAAACGTTATCGACATTTTCAAGATTTACATCAAACATTGATGAATTTCGTGAATGAAGAAAGAAAAAAATCAAACAATGATTTAGATATGTATGTATGAAAATAGAACAAGATTGTATTTTAAATCTTTTCTATAAAAAAAAAAGATTCGACATGCTTACAGTATAGTGTCCTCTGATGGAGTCCGGTACTGGACAGCAGATCCATTGCAGAGAATGAATCCGGGTATTAAGTCACTGGGTGTTATAACTGGATAAGTTTTATTTATTTTCAGTATATCACCAATATAGAAAAATAGTATCTTCATCAAAACGATTATATATTCTGAAAGCTGTCGGAATTTTCTATCATCCTATGCAATCATATTTTAGTTTGTACTCAATGTAATAGAAAATAAATCGACTGCAATGGAGATTTTTCTCATCATAAGATTCGATCATTGCTATCACAGTCAGTTTTTTATCACTATAGAAATACATTTTCAAAAAAAAAAGTAGTTATATATCGGATGTGCTAAAAGTTTTGCGACATTTTGAAAAGTTTCTATTTGTTATTCGTTTATTAAGATAATCGTTTTATTTTATATAGTTTAAGTATACACTGATGCTCTTTATCATTCTGATACAGTGATATTTTTTTTTTCGTTGATTTTGCGATGGTGAAAAGGGACGATCTTCGAGATCTAGCTTTGTTCCATTACAAGAGTGAAAAAAAAGCTCCAGAAATTGTACTAAATTATTGGCAAATAAGGTTCATCAACCCAGGTCCATCATTCAGGCCGTCTGAAACGACGTCTTAAAAGGCCTAAAACGGTCAAAAAACGATGAAAAACGATCGTCGATTTTCACCGTTTTTTGACCGTTTTCCGTCAGCTCGGATTGAGGGCCGTTTTTCCCCGGAACGTAAACGGTGCCGTTTGAGGCCGTATCCGATGCGAAACGGTCATTAGTATTAGGGAAGGAATTTGCTCGTTTAGATTCTTATTTACACTGTTTTTTTCACTCTCCTCATCTTCCCCAAAGACAATTTGTTATTTTACAATAAATACTCACTATGCAATATTTCATTGGATTAAATCTAAATAAAAAAAATACATAAATTAGTTATAGTAAAATACTTACTGTTAAGTATTCCAATCGAAATAAACCTAAAATAAAAAAATAAAATTATTTACTTATGGAAAATACTTACTGTTGAATGTTTGATCAAGATAAACCCAATTAAAAAAAATACGTATTTTTATTTAGATATAATACTTACTATTCAATATTTCATTGAGCTGAATCTAAAATGAAAAAGGAAATATTTATTTAAATAAAATAATCACTATTGAATGTTTCATCGAGATGAATCTAAATAAAAAAATAAATACTTTTTATTTAAGTTGAACACTTACTGTTGAATGTTTCATTGAAATAAATCTAAATGAAAATAAATAAATAAATTAGTTAGAATAAAATACTTACTGTTAAATATTTCCATTGAAATTAATCTAAAATAAAAAAAGCAAATATTTATTCAAATAAAATACTCACTATTGAATATTTTATCAAGATGAATCTAAATAAAAAAAGCAAATACTTTTTATTTAAGTTGAGCACTTGCTGTTGAATGTTTCATTGATATAAATCTAAATAAAAATAAATAAATGAATTTGTTGGAATAAAATACTTACTGTATTTCGGTTGAAGTTAATCTAAAATAAAAAAAACGAAACACTTTTATTTAAACAAAATACTTACTGTTGAATGTTTCATTGAGAAAAATGTAAATAAAAAAATAAATTTATTTATTCAAATAAATAGTATTGAACGAGACGATAAAAGGAATGTAAATAGAAAGAAATAGCATTCATTTTTTTAAAATAGACAGTGTCTATTCGATCATCAATCATCAGGAGGTGTCTAAGGATGACTTTACAGTACTTATGTTGACACGATGAAAAGAAGTGTGAAACGACAAAAAAACGATGATCGTAACGGCAGCTGTTTCCGGTGGTGCATGAACGACCATCGTAACGAATATCGTTTTTCACCGTATTTCTTCGTTTTACGGCACACCGTAAACGATCGCCGTAACGGCAATCGTTTTTCACCGTTTTTGGATCGTTTCAGACCGTTTACGGACCGTTCTATATGACATGGGAAAGTACGATTGATTGTTGGCTACGTCGGTATAAACAATCTAGTAGTTTAGTCGATATTAAGCTGAAATCAGAAAGGCCAAGAACTGATCGTACAAAATAAAACTTATGTATTTGGTGAAAAAAATCAAGTGATTTAAATAAAAAAAATGTTATCGAAAAATTAATATTCAAAAGTTAAAAGAAAACTAATAAGAAAATCATGTTGCTAATGGATGAAGAAGAACATCAGTCGTAATAAATTTTAAAAAAATAATGCTTACTGATAAAAAAAAATTTACCAAAAAGGGATTTTTCAATCCAACAAAATGAATAATGTTGTTTGGGCTGATAATCGATCTGATGCTAATGAATGTGGTAGACTAGATAAAATGGAAAAATATCCGGTGAGTATCATAGTTGTATTGGGTGTAACATGGTATGGCCTTACACATCCATACTTTTTTCAAAAAGACGAACACCTAAGTGGGGAAAGCTATTATATATTCAATTGTTAATGAAGGTGATCGGCTATTTCAATACAAAAATCGGGGCTTTCAACAGGATTTGACGAACTCTCATACTGATCAAAAGGTTCAAACGCTTCATACCGAAAACAAACCCAGATCCAATAAAACGGTGTCATAAACGGTCTGAAACGGCGACTAACGATGTAAAACGTCGATAAATGGCGCCGTAATCCGTCATACCAGATTACGGAAGCAAAAATCGGGAAAAAACAACGGCCGTTTTCTAGCGATAGAAACAGCTTGTAATACGGTATGACGAATTACGGTGAAATAAGGCCAAAATGAATGCAGTAATTCGCCGTTTTATAGCCGTTTCAGGGCGTATAAGACGTCGGTTCTGACGGCTGGAATGATCGACCTGGGAAATGGCCATCAAATCCATTGGATTATTCAATCTGGGATAATATCTCAAATCACGTGGAATATCACAAAGTCAAAATTGCTTTCGTTCAACAAATACGTTCAATGGAAGAACACGATGGTGAACTGATTTCAGATGAACATAGTTGATTCTACTAGTAACCTGATTGTGATAGCAGTG